CACTCAAAGAAATACGATTGGTAATTTTGACAATGCACAATTGTCGATGGTTAACAATATAAAGTTTTTCACTATGAAAATTTTTTGTTTATTCTACAAGGTAAATGTTAGGGATAATATTATTGTTTTATTGATATGAACATGGTGTATTGTTAATTATAGTATTTCGAAAAATAAACTGTTATTTTATTGACAATACAATTTGTAAACTTGATAATTTAGTACCGTTGATTCTACAAATATATTATCAATGTGATAAAATTATTTATAAGTATAAACATGATACATGAGTGCCGTGGGGTTAGAGGAACAGGATTAGAGACTCGAGTCATGAGTGGGTTGAGGGAGGTGCAATAATGCAATAATTCTACAATAATTTTATCAGTAGGACAAAAATATTGTCAATGTGATAATTTACTACACGCAACCGGCTACACGTATATTTTGTTCTTTGTTGTTCTCCGTTCTCCGTGCAGACGTGAACTCATCTTTCTGGCTTTCTGCAGATTTTACAGTGTTACAGTGTGTATTACTTACACTAATACTACAAGTGTTTTCCGGTGTATTCGCAGACAGGTAAGCAATAACATGATTTGTTTTATTTGTAAAGCAGTTGTTAATAATTTGCATGCTTTGGTGGCTCACTTTAAAATAATTCATCTCTTAAAACCGGATAGCACCTATACTTGTTGTGAAGCATTCTGCTCTCAATCATTTAACTGTCTGTCTTCTTTCAAAAGACATATGCTAAAAAAACATGTTACTCAAAATTCTAATAATACAATATTACCACCTAATGAACACCAAAATAATATACTTAACAATGAAATTTCAAATGAAAATAAAAATAATTTTTCTTATGAGAATAATGACAATCAATGTGTTGATAATATAGTTATTAGTACGTTTGATTTTGAAAATGCAGTTGAACTCTTATATCAGTCCACCGTTAAATTTATTTTAAGTTTACATAATAGTAATAACTTTAATATTAGTGATGTAACGTTCATTCAATCTGAAATGAAAGAAAATGTTTTAAAACCCATGGCCTCAGTTTTTAAAAAATTAGTTGAAAAAGAGATTAATGAACCTTTACAACTTTCTAAAATTTTGAAATTTGAAACAGTTATATTGGACCCTTTTATTTACTGTAGTACAGAACACCGCTTAAATAATTGGTTAAGACAGAGAAATTTATTGTCACCTCTGTATCAGTTTACTATAAATAATGAAATTGTGCCTATGGATCACGCTGGTAATATCACATATGATGAAAAAATAACTAAAGGTGCTTTGCTACCATTAAAACAACAATTCAAATGGTATTTTGAACATGAAAATAATTTTAAATTGCATTATGATGAATTGTTAAAATATGAGCAAAGTGATAGTGATGTAATTTCAAATTTTGTGCAAGGTAAATTATGGAAAGAAAAAATAAAATTATATGAGGGAAAAATAGTATTTCCATACTTCTTATATATGGATGAATTTGAAGTAAATAACCCCCTAGGCTCACATGCAAATGTTCAATCAATCGCCGCTGTATATTATAACTTTCCGCTTGCTACAAATAATTCTAAGCTCTCAAGTATTTTTTTAGCAGCACTAATAAAATCAATTGATATTAAAGAGTTTGGAAATGATAAATGTTTTAAAATTTTAATAAATGAATTAAATGAACTTGAAAACATTGGATTGGACATATCTACTGAACATGGCGATTTGCGTGTACATTTCCTACTTGGCCTGGTGTTAGGTGACAATTTAGGATTAAATAGTTTACTAGAATTCAGTAAGTCGTTTTCTGCAAACTATTATTGTAGATTTTGTAAAATCCATAAATCTGTAGCAAATTAGCTTTATGAAGATGATGCATCAGTTATGCGCAATATTCAAAATTATTCTGAAGATGTGGCTAAAATGTGTTTTAGTGAAACTGGTGTTTATAACCAGTCTATTATGAATTCATTAAACAGTTTTCATGTTACAAAAAACTTTTGTGCAGATAGTATGCATGATCTTTTTGAAGGAGTATGTCATTATGACATGTGCCATATAATAAAATATTACACTTCTACTGTTAAACTATTTTCTTTGACCACACTAAATAATCGAAAAGCTAATTTCAACTATGGCACTATTGAAGTAGGAAATATATCTCCAGATATAACTGAATTACACCTAAATAAATGGCATTTAAAAATGACAGCCAGAGAAATGATGACATTTGTTCATTTTTTCTCTCTTATGGTTGGAGATTTAATCCCAGATAATTGTGAAGTATGGAATTTTTTTTTGACGCTTCTTAAAATAGTCGATTTAATTATGGCATATACATTTACTGAAAATTCAATTTTAAATTTAAAACAGTTGATTAAACAACATAACTTTCTGTATGTAACACTTTTTGGAGACAATTTGAAACCAAAGCACCACTTTCTAATTCATTATCCTACAATAATACAATATTCTGGCCCACCAAGAAGTTATTGGTGTATGAGGTTTGAAGGCAAACATAAAGAGATTAAAATGTATGCTCGTTCTACTTGTTCAAGAAAAAATATAACTTTAACTTTAGCAAAAAAAATGCAGTTAAAATTTGCACATTTTATTCTGCAGTCTAACAATACAACAATTTTAATAAATCCAAAATATTGTATTTGTACACTTCATTCTGATGCAATATTAAACACAATTTATATTCCATTAACAACGTATAAGTGCTACAGCCAAGTTGAATATATGGGAACTGTATATAAAAGAGGTTATTGTTTATCAAAATTTATTGATGAAATGTGTTTATTTGAAATGTCAGAGATAATAGTTATAAATGATTATTCCAATATTTTTATAGTATCTAAACAAATCCAAATTTTAGACTTTCATGTACATTTTGAAGCTTTTGAAATTGATGAAAAAAAAACAGTAGTCAATGATTGTAAAATAAACAATATCAATGAATTTAGTGGTCCACCTATAAACATCATAAAAACTGCAACAGGAAAACTTATGATTCGCTTAAAGGAATTTTTTTCCTAATCTATAATAATTTTTTAACTATATTTTTGTACATACTAATTTTAAAGCTTATTTTTGATTATATTATTTTAACTTTAATTTCACAGAAGCTTGCTGTTGATGCTTCTTTTAGTGCTTAGTGTATAGCACTATAATGTTTGTAAACATAATTTGTTTATAATAATCATGAAAACTGCATCAAGAAAATTGATGATTCGCTCAGAGGAATTTCATCTTAATCTATAATAATTTTTTAATTACCTATATTTTTGTACATATTAATTTTAAAGTTTATTTTTGATTATATTATTTTAACTTTAATTAATTACACAGGTGCTTGCTGTCGACGCTTCTTTTAGTGCTTAGTGTATAGCATTAGTGTTAGATTTAAGCTATGGCAGACCAAACCAGCGAGGTTATGGAAGATAATAGTGCTTATAATATTCTAACACCTGATGATAAAATTGAAAATAACATTGTAATTGAAGTTAATGTAAGTTTTTTTTTAATTGAGATGCACCTGCTATAATATTTTATTCTAACAGGAATTAAATAACATGCCAGTAGTGATGCAATTATTGTATGACTATAATTATCCAGTAGAAGATCTTCAACGTGTGCTTGACTTATTAAAGACGTGGAAGTTAGAGTTCTTATATCAAACATTAGTTGGTAATAAATTTAAGTTAAAATAAATTAAATTTTTTTTTTTGTTACTAATTATTTGGTATTTAGATGAATTTATTGATATAGAAGCGTTGCAAATCATACAAAAGGATCATATTAATGAATTGATATCAAAGTTTCCTATTGGTATAAAAGCAAAATTTACTCATAAACTTCAAGAATGGCAAAAATACAATTCAACTGTAAATTTGCCGGTAAATAATCTTTCATCAACATCAGTTCAGCATACAACACCACCAAATTTGCCAGTAAATAATCTCTCATCAATATCAGTTCAGCATACAACACCGTCTATTAAAATATGTTTGCAAGAAGTTTTAAATTCAACAACAACTGGAAAAATGATCTTGGATTACTACAAAAACAATAAAAAATTAAACAATAATATAAGAACATTATTGGTTGATGCAATTATTAGTTACATAATAACAAAACAAATTCCAATGTCTGTAAATCTGGCCTCCAGTATTGGATCAGATATTGTTAAAATGTTTCAAACTGAAGTGAAGGTATGTTAACTAACAATTATCTAAAATAGTGCAATTAATTTATCAGGTATTTTAAATACCAGGTAAATTTAATGTATATATAATTATTTCTGTTCTATAGGATACTTATTTTATGAAAGATGGTTTGAATAAAAATCCAAAAGGAAAGCTATATTCTAAATATTATAATTCCATGAGAACTCTTAAAGTTAGTGGTTTGGTACCCAGTAAAGAACCTTCTTTCAAAACAATATCACACAGTAGACATGATATTGAATTTGGTAGGGACAAAATTATTTTCAACCAGTAGTATTAGTAGTAGAAGTAGTAGTAGTAATTAATTATTTCACAAAATGTCATACACAGTGTTTAAATTAAATATAAATAAAATAATTTGTTTCCAAAAGCAAGATTGAGTAGGAAACAAGAGTTCTAAATTAAGTTTCTAATATATTATATGAAGATTGAAGATGAAACAAAAGTAATATACTAATATTAAAAGGTTTAGTTAGTGTATAACATAAATAAATAATAGGTAGAAACCACCTGTGTTATTTACTAAAGTTTTGTTAAATTTTAATATAGTACAATAATGATATGTAATATTATTTTGACATCCATACCTAACATTTTTAATTTCATTAACATTTTTTTAAAAAAATATGATCAATACATGAAAAAGACCGACTGGATATTATTTCTGGTGGTTTCATTTATACAAGATTTAAATCCATAAGAACTTAAGATATTTTGATAATTGATCAACTTCATTAATTTTTGTCTTGTTTTAGTTTATACTTCAAGTTGCCTATTAGTTATTACACCAAAGCATAAAATAAAATTGTAAGCCTTGTTAAAATAATTAATGTTTTTTGTTTGTTTTTACTAGAACCTGAAGATGACATAAATTATATCCTGGATAAAATAATGTATGATGATAATTGCTCGTTTCCTGAACTTGAAAATTTGTGGAAACAAACCACAAAACATAGACTACATGAAATTCAAAAAACTTCCTCTACTGCAGAAATTCTTCAAAAATGGAAGAGTTATACTCAACCTCTTGGTTATAGACTTGTAAGAATAACATACAATTTAAAAAATGCATTTTACTAACTAAAAATATGTATTTTAACAGATTGATATTGATTTTAATACACTTTACCCTGATTGTCCTGATCTTAAATGTGTATTGGAAATGAAGTTTCAAAAAGTAATTAAATTATTAAACGAACAAACTAAAGACGTAGCTAGTAAAAAATTACTGCAAAACCTTAATGACAATATAACTACTATCAGTGAAAGTAATGATTTGAATAAGTTTTTATAATAATCATATTAATAAAAATATTTTATTTTTTAGATGAAAAACATGCAGTCCTGTTTTATTTATTGCATACAATTTTTGTTCCAACTAGTAAGAAAATAACAAGAGACGATAATGGCAAAAAAAACCTGGTCAAGTATTCAATAAAGGATAGTCAAGACAGTTTTATGATTTTCAAATCCTCAATAGCTGAAATTGAAGAATATATAACTAAGCGTCGTAATGAAAATACACCGATCCAACCTTTTATATTGATTTGTGGTACTCCCAGTAAACCTAAAGAAATAATTGTATTTTTTGATTGTATAAAATTTAAACTTTTTTCAATATCATCTGCAATTGATGTATGCTTTAAAATTTTTCATATTTTCAATCTAGAATATCCACCACAATCATCAATTGTATGGCTTTTTATACAAAAATATTTTTATTTACTCAGTACAAAATATGATAAAGCCTATCATACATTGGGTCAGATTTTATCAGATTTAAACACTGCAGAATGAATTGTACTTAATAGTTATTAACATTTTTTTAATAATGCTTATATGAATTACAAATGTTTTATAATAAATAATTTATAATTATAAATAATGTTGTATTATTTTAAACATTGTAGGTACCTAATTTAAATTTTTATAATTTTTAAAATTTAGAGTAAACTATTATAGAAATGCTTGATTTAATTTTTTTTTAAATACATAGGTAATAGTAGTATTAATCATACTACTAAAAAAAATTATATTCATAAAGATAAAATTCTATGTTGGATTTACAAAATTCTTGTTGATATAGAGCCGACAAGATACCTTGTTATATTGATAATAGTTGTATTAGTATGATCAATGGTACAAAATCAATTATCATTATAATTAAAAGTACTGTCATTTTGACAACAAGGTTGTGTGAAATCAATAATAGATCTTATTAATATAACAAAATAATATTATTATTTTGAAAATACTTGAACAATCCATAAATGTTGTTATGACAATACATACATTCATAATGATAATTGATTTTGTACCATTGATCATACTAATACAACTATTATCAATATAACAAAGTATCTTGTTGGCTCTATATCAACAAGAATTTTGTCAATCTAACATAGAATTTTATCTCTATGAATGTGATTTTATTTTGAGTGTATTGTCATAGCTGTAGTGCAATATTGATTCTTTTTCTTGTGTTTCTGTTACACATGCATTGATTAAGTCATTGCT